CAACCACCTCCACTTCTTCTCCCATGATGGAAACAGGGTTTGATCTAACACTATTACTATAATAGTATAAAATGTCTACCTTAGCTCTATCTGCTRTTGACTGCTTGATTGACAAATGATGAGACAAATCTCTGTTCAGTTTGTAATATATTTTGTTWTGGAAACTGCAAATATGACCGTGTTTTGGGGGTTATGTAATCTCATCCACTAGTTTGTGCAGTTTATAAKCTAGAGTCATGATGCTGTATTTCAAACCAAATGGTAGCTTGATATTACCTAATATCAGTGTTCAGCATAAATCAGTTGCAGGACATTAAAATTATGTTTCATGCATCACATTTTCATCTGATGATAAGTTTAACAAGTAATCACTTCAAACATAAAAAATGTTACACGTTGATAATTTATCCTGTAGAATAGTTTGAACTTGGGATTATTTATCACTAACTTTCAGCTATTTGTTGCTTTTAGTTATTAACTTCATCCTTTATTTCTAGCAAACAAATATTAAGAGTGTAACCAATGCAGCCACATTTTGGGTGGTGAAGTTTTACAAATCATGCTGTGTTCTTGTGTGCAAAGCTTGCAAACTTGTATTCCTGTCCTTGCACATTGTATTTTGTTGCTCACCTCTAACATCGCTCACATCATCCCCTCCCCGACTTGCTTATTCTCACTTCCGTAGCCTCTAAAATGTAAACTCTGATTATTTCCAGAGAAAATTTGTAGCTTAAGTTTTTTGAAAATGTTCAAAATTTAGGCAACAAGACTGCAAGTCTCTGTGGTTCACATGAGGTGAATTAATCCTAACAAATGTTTTGAGACATTTTCTATGGTTGCCTCATAAAAGTTTTAAGTCCTGGTCCACTGAGACACTATCTTTTAGGGGGTTTGTCAGAGAGACACTCCCTGAAGCACAAACAGAAAAAAACCCACTTTGCTAATGGGGAGATTCTGATACATCAGTTCACTTAAAGCAGKGTAGGATTTAATAACTACACTTCCTTTAGCTCATTAAAAAGTCATGTTGTTGTGCAGTGTACTATGAGTCCCACATTGTCCTACAGCGTGCTCCACTGTAGGACACCTGTACCAGGCTGTAGGACAGTGTACAGAGTGCTACAGGTGTCCCACAGTGAGATTGAGACATGGACACTGAGAAGTAGATTTATTTATTAGTAAGAAACTCTTCAGCCTAAAAACTGTTAAAGTAATTTCTTATCAAAACAAAGCACCAATTTAAACTTTTTTATTCACCAGTTTCATCTAGTAATTCCTAAAGTTCTTCACAAATAGAATCTGTTTTCCAACTATAGTAAATTATTTATTGACTGTTCTTTTTTTTATTTCTGTGTAAGTTTTCTGATAATTTTGTGCTGTTCTACCCATTCTTATTTTAAAATGTTCAGCTCATTTATGAAAAAAGGTGCCATGACTTTTGGTTTCTGTACTTTTACACTGCAGCCTCCTTCATAAGGCAGCTCAGTCCGGTACTGAAGCCTGTTCTGTCCTTCTCAGATCACTCAGAAAAAACAAGGAGGTGGGAAGCGGGGTAGAGGARAGCCCGCCTCTGATGCCCCTTTGAGCTGCCAAGCGAGGTAGTATCAGAGGCGGGCTCAAGGCGGGCAGACTGACTTGTGAAAAAGCAACCCACGGTTCTCTGGCTCAGAAAATGATTAATGAGCTGATGACATCAGTGAGCGGCMGCAGGATTAAACAACAGATTACCGAGGGAATATTAAAGATGACCCAAAACAACTTTGTAGTTAGTTTAAAAGATATTGAACCACAGGAACATTAAGAAGTTTTTTCAGTTTGTTTTGTTTGATACGAGGCAGATGTCCGTCACAAAATAAATACACAGTGGTCCAATTCAGCTGACCTGAGATCTGCTCCACTCCTTATTTGGTTTGCTGCCGGGTTCACTTCTGTACATGTTCATGTATACGGGACCTGGCCAGCTACTCTTTTGATTTATGAATGACCGGAGGGAGCTTAAAGCCGGACTGGTCCGTGCGRCAATTTCACTGAACTGTCTTCTGAAAGAGGCTGTCATATTTAGATTTAACTTTATTTACAAAATAAATAAATACATCTCTTCATTCCTTTCATAAACATTTTTCTCTTTGAAATCTGTTTCAGCAGTCTTTTTCCGTCTCTGTATGTACTTTTCTTGTTTAGCTATTGTTCTACTCTCCTATTTTAGCCTTTTAACTTTCACTTTTAGTTAGCCATAAGCTACTTTTGGGGTMATTTCTTTGAAGCTTTCGAACATCTTTTCCAGCTTTTAGCTATCCTTTCAATTTTTTAGCCTTTAGCTACTTGTTTGCTACTTTTAGCTTCTACCTAACATTTTATCATTTTTATTACTTTTGCCTTTGGCTGATCATTTGTCATTTTAGCTTTTCTTTTGTTACTTTGGATTTTAGCTAGATTTTTGATCCTTTTAGCTGACATTTTGCCAACTTAGTTTGATTTTTACAACGTTATATTTTTTAGTTAGTATTTTGCCACTTTAAGCAAGCATTTTGCTACTTCTGTCTGGGCTTTGGTATTTTAGAATTACCTTATTTATTCATGTATAATATGATCCAGAGTAAAATACGATCATTATTTTCTGAGCCTTAAAATCATAAAAAATCTAATCAGCAATAACCTTGTATAATACAGAGATATTTTTACCATAAGTAAATGTATTTTTCTGCGTCTTGAAATGACCTACTCTCAAACACAGCTACTTGTGATGTCACAAGTCTCACTCCAGCCCACCCCAATCTGAGCCCAGCTCATCTCCTGCTAACCCAAGCAGAGACTCCGCC